ATCAGTTGAGATGACTGGGATACGTATTACGTATGCCTAACCACCGATTGCTCCGAAGTGCAGTGTTTCATGGTGTAGGAGTAGGTTGGAAGAAAGCTAGGGGTGGTCAGACAAAAACGTATCACAAATCTATGAAGTAACTGACAATTGGACTGAGCCATGCTGGTAGGTGTAAACTAGCTGGTTGAGATGCGCGAGATGAGTAAATTCATCCTTCCCTAAATAATTCATTTTTCTTATCTAAACCAATTCGTATGAAGCTATATTCCACATGCGCAACTGTCAGCTTTTTTAAACTTAATTAATGAATCAAATAACATCATATAGTGTGAGACTTATTGATTCGAAATCACATGAGCGGTATTGGAATTATAAGAAATCTTTTCTCAAACCACGAGTGATACTAACTACTTTACAGGTTTCTTGACACGCAAATTCTCGTAGTAATATGATGTGTATTGTTGCAGAGAAGAAAAATTAAAAAAACATTTGCAATTACTTTGTACTATCCAACTGTCGAAAAAGCATACTGAATTGCATTTAAGTTTCCTGTTTTTAATCTACCCATTAGCACAACGCTGCAATTACCCCGAGGTTCCTCGCCATGATGCTAACTCAAACCATCAATAATGTTACAGTGGAATCTGGAGGAACTAAGATTATCTTTATAATATATATTGACTGCTGTCATTACAATATACTAGTCAATCACATCAGTTAAGTAGTTGGTTAAGTGGGGGAAACTGCTATGAGTAGTCTCAGCACGTGATCTAAAGCTGTTTTATTTTTTTACTGTTTGCGCTATATTCGTGTCATTTAGACACAATAAATCGATATCACTGGTAAGAGTAGTCTGTTAATTTAGGTGGTAGACCTGTGAACTCTGGTACACAGATGTAATAAATAGAAATTACGTGTGCTTGGCAGGTCACTTTACTGTGCAAAGTTAGCTAGTGTATGATTTAAAGCAACAAACATTTCCACGAAGTGATTGACCAATCGATGCACAAGATCCTTGCAACTCGCGTAGTTATTATAATTGACTATGACTTTAGATAGGACAGCACGAAACACGTAATGGTCCTACAGACTTCTACCTATCCCTATTAATTTCTAACCAGTGATGAGATTGCCGCTGTCTTTTAATAACGCTGATCCGAAGTATAGCAACTTTGAACAGTATGTATTCATTTGAAGCCCTAATTTACACCTAATACACCCCCTTCCACAAAGCTTGGAGATGTATATCACTGCCAGAACAAAAAAGCGCTTTACTAAGTACACAAACTCCGTCAATAAAGCATTGGTAATCTCATTTAGCCACTGGTGACGATTAAATAGGACAGGGAAACGTACTGTATCTATACAAATGTTGAACAAAACCTTAAGGTGATTGGTGAATGATACTCGTTAGGAAATTCTTAATGCTGTAGAACTCACATACCCCTCTTACAAAGCTAGCAAAAGCGTTTTATAATTTACAACTTGAATAAGATACATCACGATCCGCATCACAGGGATTTATGTAGCGTTAAAAAAGTAATTACTGTGTTAATAGTAGTTCTTTTCTTCTTCTCGAAATGAATCAAGCCATATGACAAATATAATCATACGAAATGAATCTCGCCTATCGTGTCGACGATTATTATATTGAGATACATCGTACTGAGTACTCAATTGATTTAATCCGTAATTCATTTATGACTCAATTTAAGTTTCTGGTGCCCACATTGAAATGAAATCAAGGGAATGGAGTCTTAATGAATCACTAAAACATAGCAACGAATCATAATACGGCAACAACCTATTGACCTAGGAAGCCGTTAAAATAGACACAAACTAATTACAACACATTGATCTAACGGATTATCAGTACTTTTGAAGTGAATACCTTAATACTTTTATACTTAACTAAACAATTTATATCCTCAAAAATTTTATTTTTGGAGTTCATGGAATATTAGACGCGATTAACTATCCCATATAGTTATGATGAACAAGTTCAAGTCTTCGAAAATGTGATGAAGTTGAAATACTTATGATAGCAGATTATCTTAACACCACATCATTAAAAAGCTTAACAGAAACATGAGATTTGTAGTTCTAACTACGAAGCCTAAGTAATGAAATGGATTATATTGACGCTATTCAGTACACCACATAAAAATGAATAGATCGACAATATGTTACCAAGTTAATTCCTTGCACAAACATAATACCTTTGAGTACTTATAAGAAATATTAGACCATTTCAGTTCAAAAAGCTTAATTCAATACTTAAGATAAAACGCTACGACTTCTATAGAACAATATTCAAAGACAGAAGCACGAGTACCTCAAATGTGAGTAAATTAAAATTCCTGTTCACGTTAAATGACATGACTGGATTTCATCGAGGTCTCCTCAAGTCATTTACAAAGTAGTGTATAGCGAGTTGAATCTTTATGTGACTATTATCCTGATATAAAGCAACTTAGTCGTTAAATCACCACTGCCTTTATGATAAATTCAATTACTACTACTACTTACGCCTGTTACTCCCAATGGAGCATAGGCCGCCGACCAGCATTCAATAAGTGGATATATTTCATTTTTCTTATACAGAGATTACTCTGGCTAAAATAAGCCTTTGACATTGTGTATATAATAAAAGCAAACGGAAAAACCGTTACAATTGGCAATAATGTAAAACAAGGTCCACGAGGCAAAGTGAACATGCAAAACCAAATAACCATGCTAAAACCGACTAGAAATAGTCACGCTACTAAATATTGGACAGAAATTGTCTATGATAGAAATTTATGGGACAAGCAAACATAACTTTCTGCTCACTATCAAAACCTCATCAACAGTTACTAATTACTCTAAGATCGTAGATCAAATTTAGATCGAGACGTGATTTCATGTAATACCTATCAACTAGAACACGTGATCCAAAATGTGAAGCTTTGGTGGTGGTGATCGCTTGAAACATAATTAAAACATTGTAACTAGCAGTTATATTTCAAGGAGGAACATATAAACCTGATTCAATGAAAATAATTCTGATGAATCGCGCTAAGTAGACAGCCCCATTTAACAACACAATGGCTTCAAATGACATCTATTCGACTGACTGTTTAGCAAGCTCTATTCAATGAATTAATGGGTTTTTTAGCAAAGCATTAGCCCGACAATAAACAGATGTCTATAGAATGTTTTTTAGCCTAACGATGAGACCTACTTAAAGGGATGTGACGGCTGAAACGAACTATCTGGAACGGCTTTGAGAAAATTATTATTAGGTTTCATTCACTAATAAAATTACTCCCAGGAATAGATGAACTAATTTTCAAAAAACCTTTTAATGGTGAAACAAATATTAGGATTTTAGAGAAGAAAAATATAAGTGAGCAAACTGACTTCATTTATGAACTTAATTCAGGAAGGATTATAGTGCACATTTCAACAGTTAATATGTTATTCTTTTTTTCATTAATGCGATAATCAGACATTATATCAAGAGGAAAATAGTACAGTTTCTTCTTTTAGGGGATAGAAAAACAAAGAAGTATGCATATACACCAATAACGTCATGGCACAGTAACAAACTCAATCATTGGAATGCAAAGAGCAAGAGAAAGTAAAATTCAAGAGGAAAACAAAGGAAAACCATTCTCACCACAAACATCTGATGAGTAAAATAACTAAAGATGTTTAAAAGAATAAATCGTAATAATAATAAGACGAAAAGAATGAACGTGAACAATTACCTCGTGAGATGGTAAAGCGAGGAAACGTATATGTGTGGAGGGGTAAAGTTAATCAAGGAAACGTGTGAAAATGACAAGATGACATGCGTATACATATGTATATATTTATATATATATAAATCAGGCTTTCCTACAAGTCACTGTCAACAAGTGTCTTAACGTGTACGAAGTTTTTTTGGCAACGATAATTCACTTCTTCTAGTGGAGATACCAGGAATGATAATATTTTGTATAAACTACTTCAGGTTACTTTGTCGTCATCATTGTAACAAATTCTGAAAATAGGAATAGGCAATTATAACAAAGAATATCCCCAAAGTTGACATCTACCACAAAACTACCACGGTACTACATTTTTCCCAAGCAAAATAGGTAAACCAATGAAGGAATTATACTTAGTTGGAAAAATGAACAAATACGACATATGCATGCATTATCATTTGTGAAACAACGAAGGATGAGACAGAATAATGTGACAGGAAGGGATTTTTCAAATTACTTTCTACTTAAATAAGTAAAAATAGAATTGCATACTAAAGTTAAGCCGACCTAGGTAGTGTGGATTACTGTTACTAAAAAAAAAACCCGATAACGCTCAACTTGAATAATAGAAAGACCCCTAAACCTTCCTGTGAAACGATGCAGTACACAACACGAAATATTTTCATTTTACTACCTTTTGAAGCTATAATAATTACCACTTTAGCTTTATCGGAAAATGAAAAATACGAATCAAAATTTCTATATTCGACAAAAAAATTTTTAGATGGTTGATTTAGAAACTCCAAAGACCTATATATCCCAATCGAGCGAAAGAATTGTGAAAACGTATTAGATAGAACAAACAATCATTACTGTCTACGGAAAATCTTAACATAGGTTAATTCAACATCACATAGAAAGCCTAAAAAATGAGGCTTATAAATATATATATATATATATATATATATATATATATATATGCAAAAAGTGAGCAGTAAGGGCTTTATTGTTTTAAGTGGGGGGAAGGGCATACATTTTGAATTTTCTGGGGAAAAACAGACAAAAAAAATAGCCCAGAGCATTAAAAACCAGGAAAACTCAAACAGTATAATCAGTTACGTAGTTTGTAAACAAGACATGCGTATACAATGGGCGACTCAACACGCCAATCACAAGATTGCTTTACAGACATTCATTTGCTCAAAATGAGCATTCAGCTGAAAGTGTGATGACAATGTTTAGTTCTGATGTATTATTTTAGTATTCTCATTTCGCCGTCATCATTTTCACGAATTCTGTTGATGTAGTTCACAGAAGTAGGTAAATTTTGAGACGATAGCGGATAGGACAAAGGCATCACATGAGAATACCATCAGATAAGTCGGAGGTGAACATGAAAACGCACCGCAGATATATAGGGTAAAAAAGATAACAATGAAATTGCAAAATTTCAACAACATATATATATGTATACAAATATATATACGATGCACAACATAAATAAACACCTATGAAATAGGTGAAACATAAACAAACTACTAACAATACCAAATAACTACATTAAGACGTAAAAACAACTAAATCTACAAGAACCCAACCACTAAACTAAAAAATAGGCAGATAATACTGAATTTACCTTCATAATTTACTTGACCATCACCATCTATATCAGCTTCACGTATCATTTCATCGACCTCGTCATCAGTTAACTTTTCGCCCAAGTTAGTCATTACATGTCTGTAGAAAATGTATAAGGGCATACGATAGGGTTAGCATTTTTGGTAGATATTCCACATATACAACAGTTTTCGGGAAACTATTTGAAACAGTAAAAATATTTTGCTTAAGTATATAGAGAGTCGATATTTTCTTTAAGATGTTGAGTTCTATTTCGTAATACTTTTCCTTTTTTAGGATCTGTTAAGTTATTGTCAGAGACTGAGAATAGTTGGGGGGCCGTGGAAACTAAATCCAAAGTTCTTTAGGTCACCTGTTTTCCAACCTTTCAAATATTTTGTTAATCACCTAATGTACTCAAGAGTTCCCACTAAAAACTTATAACCTATAGGGCAAATAATCACTATCAAATTCAAACAAAATGATTACGGCGAGGTTGGTATGTTTGTCTGCTTGAGTGTTCACTAGAGAAGCAAAATTGAATTGAAATTCATGGCTCAAATTTATTACAAAGTGAGAAAAGGTATCATAGAAAGAAAACTGATCAAATCTGTATAAGGGTTAAAAATTCAGAGTAGCTAATCACCATTGAAAAGTGTTTTCTTATGCAGATTTCAAGTATTAACAGGTTAAACAGATATTAAGCTGGAACCTGTGCCAATATTATATATTTATACTGAAAATTCTCTAATCAAGAATATGGTACCAAATAAAACTCCAAAGAACATACGACATATGCGACCACCCAGTGATTTATTCATATAGATCTGTCTTTAAAACAAGCAACAGTTCTACTGAAGAATTAGATGTGCTGTATGAAGATAGTTGTTTAAATACCCAAAATAAAAAGAACAATTGCAATCCCTTCCTAAAAAACAGACTGACTTATAAAGACATCGCTGGTTACGGAACTTCTTATTGAAAAGTGTGCATGATGTGAGGATAACGCTCTGGACTTAGCATCCCCTTTTGAAAGGTGGCACGGTAGCGTCACACTAAGGCTTGACCAAAAAACAGTATAGATATATTATAATCAAACCAGGAAAAAGAATTTTGTGTGTAAGTGTATTCCTGATTTCCCTCTTAGTGGATTATTTCAATAAAAACTTGTTACATTATGGACGCCAAACGATGTGTAAAACGAAATAGCACGATATCATGGAGAAGTAACAGGCAAATAGGAATGATATTTAGAAAGCCAGATGAAGTACATATAAAGAGAGTTGAATAACTTAGTAACTTGCTGTAACAACTGAAGGATTGCATATAGCCTTGATCAGGAGACGCATTTGATGTTAGTAGAGTTAAGTATGGAACTTTACGCAAGGGGTTTGGAAAGACCCACAGGTATCAAGCCAGCAAAACTAACCTTTGATCTACAATGAGTTATTAGACTGGTCACTTATTTTGCCCGACTTATCTCAACAGCAATGAACAGCGATTGGTGTGGTAGCCTAGGATGTGTGATATGTGTAGTATATCAAAGATACCCATTTAAAAGTGATTTTGCTATACATAAAATAGCCAGTAAACTCTGACTGACACGATTAAGCTAAAAACAGTGGTTTTCGAGTGAAGGAAATTATTAGATGTTTTGACTCAAGGTCAGTGTAGTACAAAACTGGGTACACTGAGTAGCCGCACACCGTGCTTTACAATCATTCTCATACCGCACTGCCGAAGATTACTCATGACACTTAGATTTCTTTAGGACTGGGAAGTGTCACTAAGTGAGAAACTCTAGGACAAAATGAATATAAAAGTTGTGGCGTCAGAGATAGTACGCATACAGAATATAGTTGGAGGGAATTAATCGGTGTAATAAAAAGTACTCGTGATCTAAAGGAAGACAAAGAGCTTATGTATCTGTACCATTGCGATTTATTTTGAATCATTAACTTAACATTAGCCATTGATCACAATAAGCCCGCAGACTCCAACCAGTTATTAGCCTTACTGAGCACAAAATAACTGCTTTAAAAACCCAGAGAGGATTAACTAGACATTAAAGGGAGCATGAAGCCCGTGACCAAACAACATACAAGGACTGTCTAGTTCGTGAAGTAGCAAAGAATAAGACTTTAACGTAAAATTTACAATGCGATTTCATTGGCTTGGGACCGGAGGTATGTTCCAGCAACAAAATATGATATGTACAGAGCAAACAACAAACCAGGACTAATCTCATTACGAAGGAAGTTTGAAAGTAATTTCTGAAACTATCAAAACTTGTTATTATATGACTACTTACGTTTGGACAATTGTCATCTATATCACTGAATAAAAGTTCGGTCGACTGTTTTATTTGCGTGGTCATTGGTTGATGGACATAACGTTACACTGTTCACGTTAGGTGGTGATTTAGTCACTTGAAATTATCCAGTACTCATATTAATTTAATCCAGAAATATATTCACTTGATCATCTACAGACGCCTGTCAGAGAAAATTCCGTTTCGACTGACTATATCTTTGTTCAAATTGGGTTAGATGTGAAACCCTTGTAATCCTTAACAAGTATTGTATACTGTACTGACTTGCCTACAGCAAAAACTCATTAGCCACGTCATTGTACATGACCCAGTTAATATTGTGCGGTAACGTCGCTTATGGCCGGTAACGGAGTTAAAAATGTATTCATACTTCTGCTTTGTGTAAATCTTGAGAATAAGGTTTTATCTTACAACTTATGTTCTAATTTTACTTGTCCATTATATATATATATATATATATATATATATATATATATATTGGACGTCAACATTTTTTACTCTATTAAACAATCCGCTATTTTGACACGGTAGTAGAATTAAACTATGGTAATGACCCGATTGATATATATTGGCTAGAACAGTTGTTGTAAATCCTCCCATGCCAGACAGGTCGGTTAACGAATGGTAAGGCTAGATGCAGCAACTTAATGATTGTAATGGGATTCGCCGGTAGTAGGCCGCCTCCCACAAACAACCAGTATCTGTGGCAATGTTGGTTTTTTACAATCGAAGTTAGAGAATGTTGACCTTAAAGGTAACGCATCTTACCTAGTTTCATGAATTTCTATCTCCGGTAGTAAGGCCTTCGGTGAATGGAGCTAACACGTAGAGATCTTGCAAACATGCCGCGTGATTAGCATCAAGTAGTTATTCGGGGGACCCTGTGGCCATGCTTAGTTCACGAGAAGTATGTAATCTGTTTTCCTTTCTAGACACCTTGGGAAATATTTCATGGTATGATTAGCCGGAGCCCCTAAATGCCCTGGTAAGGCCGAGTGTGAGGAGAGTCTTCTCTCCCTCTCGAAATGCTTTCACATGGCCAGCGAATATATAGCCTCTACCAGGGAAGTCCTACTCACTGCCTTCTCGTGGCGGGGGTGTTGTTTACGAAATTGAGAGGACGAAAAGCGAATGTCCGACGCTTTAACCGGGTTGGTGGATATGAAGGATCCACCTAGGGGAGTTGGAAAACCCTGATTCCAAACCAATGGTGCACATGGGCTCCAGGATCCTGAAGGAACGAATGCCGTATGAACCAACTGTTGGTCACCGGCTACCATGGGACTGCATCTCCTCACGATGCTCCACTGCCTTGTGGATCAGACCTTTAGGTTAAAGGCTCCGGGTGTGGGCCTCTAAGAAAAGCACCTGCTTTAGTTTGGGCTCCTGGGCAGTATCACAGCCCTCAAGCAAATCGAATGAGATTTGTATGGCGCATATGTATTTGGTGTTTCCTTGTACCAATATTTGTGTTTAAATAAATAATAAATAAATTAGCCGGAAAGTAACATTTACATTTTTAAAAGCACCGTATGAACTGAAACTATTATCGTGTAGATGCTGTGCTGCAACTTAGGATTTGAGTTCTATTCTCTTCTAACTAGAAAATGTCACAAGACCTATTGTGGAGTGGCATTGAAGACTAGTTGATGTGTAAAACTGAGTAAATTTGGGTCATTCTGCCTCCAATACCTTCGACGAAAGGAACTGGAAGTTGAAACTCCTCTTGTGGATAATTTCATCCAGTACATCTTACCACTATGATGCTGTCAATGTTCTAAATAGTAACAGCTAAACAACTTTGATGGTCTACAGGTAATCGCATAGAAACAAGAGCCTAATAGTTTATTAAAGGATATAAGACCGGGGGGGTTGATAAATAGGTTTGTACTATCAGTAGCAAGTTGAAAAAACCAAATAAACACCGCTTCGAACGTAGAAACGCTATCAACAAAATGGACAAGGTTTGTGGGCTGAGCTCGACGGATTACATGAAGATTACAACTACATTTTAAAAAAATTACTCAAAGTATTTCATCACGACTAAGAAGGTCGGGAACCAGTTCTTGTAATAAGAATAGTAGCAAAGACCCTTATTTTCTTCCTGGAAAGCAGAAATAACAAACTTATTTTGTGCCACAAACTAATGCAATCGCTTCCAGTAACACTGAAATGCGATGATAACTAGAACAAAATATATCGAAAACAACAGGCTATTGACGTTACGATTGCTAATGTAATTGGGAATCATAATTTACAACCGCACAGTTTGGTTCTAAAGCGACATAGTGACTGACAAATACATTGTTGAAACCTTATCCAGACACTCTCATGCCACTGTAAAATCATAAAAACATGTCAGCTACTGTCAACTTAGTATATGACGCATATAGCTACAAAGTCAATGTTTACATTGTTAGCAAGAAAAACATCAAGAGGAATACTACTTTAAATAGATCGGAAGACCGATTGAAAGAATAACTGCACAAACTTGACTGTAACATCAATCCCGCTTTCAAATGACCCGACACGAGCTAGAACACATAACATGGAATACTATCACGACGCTAAGAATTTCGCCCTCAGTTAAGCCCAGCTTTAAGTGCACTCTAAACTGGAGTAGACAAATGGGGAATCGAGTGGCATAATTAGAGACTTTAGAATAACTTTAACCAGTGTGAATTTACGCCTCTTGGTCTGAATTGACAGTGATGACTCTAAACAAAACTACAAGCTGTGAAGCCCTACTAACCAAGAACAATATTCGGGAAATATGATAAACTCGTTACATTTCTTTGCATTCTCTTCAGCCGCAAACGACTTAATATGAGTGAGTTGACCTCGTATCCATTTTCATCTTTACTTAACTTCTGAAAGTATGGTTAAAGCAGTGGAATCATCCATACATTTCAGGTTCATTACCATAAGCAGTTAAAAGACCCCACCTTTACAACACTAACTTCGGCGGGACTAAAATTTATGGACGAACTGGTCAGATCCTAGATCTTGAATTATGACGCGAAATCCATCCGCTCACTTGGCTGAATACCATTTTGCATTATAGCTGATGTCAGTTTGTGATGGAAACATTAAACCTAATTCCTAACCCTAACGTTTAACTTTAAATCCCAATCCTAATTTTTTACACTAACATAAATCCCACACAACCGCAGTAAGGTGGAAATCTCAAGGTCACTCTGGCATTGTTCAAAGGTCGTCCATAAATTACCCTCGCCTAGAAACCCGTACTTGACTAATCAGTACCATGAAGAGCATGTTTAGTATACGGGAGAGCGCATATACAACGGTTGTTCTGTGCTTGACAATCACGAATTTCCATGGAACTGAGATAGACTAAAAGGAGTTTAATGTAGCAATGTGCAAAGTTATCAGAAAAACGTAGATTTTCTTGCGTCTAACGCGATCCGTCTTTAGATTTACATATTATAAAAATAATATGGGCCCGCAATGAAATTTTAATAGTTGCAAACTAACCGGAGTTCAGCAGCAGATATGAATCCATTTCCATCTTTATCAAAAACGCGGAATGCCTCTCTAATCTCTTCTTCACTGTCTGTATCCTTCATCTTCCTGGCCATCATTGTTAAGAACTCAGGGAAGTCGATTGTACCATTACCTTAAATTGCTCGTGACTAAACTAATGTGGTCTTACCATCAGCATCTACTTCATTGATCATATCCTGCAGTTCAGCCTCTGTAGGATTCTGCCCCAAGGAGCGCATGACTGTACCTAATTCTTTGGTGGTGATTGTACCATCACCATCTTTATCAAACAAGGAAAAGGCTTCTTTAAACTCAGCAATCTGTTCCTCTGTTAATTGGTCGGCCTGATGTGGACGTTATGTAAAATAAACGCAGGAACCTACCATTCTCGAGGATATAAGTGCACAACCTTGAACCGAGCAAGCACGATAACCCGTAACAGGACTGTTTGCGATTGACTAAGAATTTAAACACAAGGCAAGACTCAATAGCTTTTGAAATCAATGAAGCCTATGGTAAATGAGCAAACCAACTTTCATTCTTATTTGAATAAAAAATCAGCTGTAAACTAACCAATCCTACTGTGCCGCGTAATATGAAATATGGAGTCATTTACCGTTCATGTGATTTTCGAACTCGTTTATGAACTATTTTTATTTTTGAACTCAAAAGTAGTTGCAGCCCTAAATGTTTGTTCAACACTGAACATTAAGGTTGGCTGGTTACTGCTCCCTTAATTTCAAATAAATATTTTTCTTGATTCTTTTATTCTTTACTGCTACAAACTTCATAGAACTATGTTCAGTATCATCTACTGATGACGTCAGCTATGTTTCTGTTTCAGGAACTATATCCTATCCGTGACAATTTTCATAATCACAAATGAAAGACCACATCGTTTTCCTCTCTTTTAACTTGAAATCGCGCTTTTCGAACGGGAAGTTTAGTCCTAACGTGATTTACATTTCTCAAACTTTTGCTGTGTTCTTACGCAACAAAAGTACCATTTCCGATCTAAAGAGTCTATTCTGAGTTATACGTTCGGTAGATTACTTCTTTTTTGTGTTTCACTCAAATTAATAGTTAACTGTGGTTTTGCCTCAGCTCACTATCGGTTTTTTTATAGTTTTCACGTAAAGGCTAGCTTTAGCTTATCGTTAACTGTTTTTATACATTTTTGCCAGTTTTTGTTTACTGTGTGTTTTTTAACGGTCCTAAATTTACTGCTTGTATTTTTAAGACAGTCTGAATCACTAGCCATGAACAATTCATGCAAAAGACCTGGTTGCCGTTTTGCCGTTACATCTGGCATGCAATGTGACAACTACAAAGGTTGGTTCCATGAGGCATGTACAGATCTAACAGCAGCAGCCTATAGCAGACTCAGCAAGTCTGATCGTAGGTGGGTATGTGTTACCTGCAACACCGATACGGTAGTTATGTTGGGTACCATCATTACTTTACTGACAGGTCTGAGAGATGAGTTGTCTAAGAATTCGCTAAATGATAGCATCATGACGGGTAACAAAGCTGGAACGCATAAGGGAAACAAGAAAAAGGATACTGACAGGTCGGTTATCGACGGTGCTGTTAACAGCACGAGTGATGATGTGCTGAAAATCAGCACCATCTTAACATCGACTGTCATCGACTCCCTCAGTAAACTTGGGTCCCCCAAGGAACAGTCCTTGAATGAGACAGTGGTTCCCAAAAATCTTGTAGGTGGTTGGACTCACGTTAACGGGAGTAATAAAACCCAACCGTCCCCGCCGAAATTGAACGTCCCAAGTACCGTGCGGAAATCAATTGATGCTTTGGCCGCACAGACTGTCCGCCCGGTCATCACTGAGCCCAGGAATCGAAAACGCGCCTCGACATCCAAACAACAAGATACCAAACCTAGACGCCCTGGAAAACCTGGGAAATCAATTACGATTCGTGACGACTCTATCATAATCATGAACCTTATTGACAACCCCGACCTTCCTCTCAGTTTGCAGAACAAAAACGATAGGATGCTCTGGGGAGAATTAAACAAGAGGCTTGAACTCCCTAGAATAGAGCCTTTGACCGTCACACGGCTCACTCGGGGGAAGGACTCTAACCACCCAAACCACCCGAGGCTGCTTCGTGTTACACTTAAGAATGCCTCCGACGTAGAGGACATCCTGCTAGCCAGTCACTTACTGAAGTCGGATGGGAACGTAAGAATACTGCCCGACATACCGTATTCTGAACGAAATCTCATCCGGAACATCCCTAGGGGATCTCGTGAGGCGTTTTTCCGTGGACGAAATATCATTGTGCAAGGTGTGTCGGAAAATATGGACCCAGCTCAAGCAAACTCTGATATTCGGGAATGGAAATTCATCAAGCATTCCTTAGAACTCAAGAACATATTGACCCAACAGGTAATGAGACTGGCCAAGAGAGACGAGGACTCTAGGCCCCGGCTGCTGAAGATAACCTTCCCCTCCTCTCACATGGCGGCTGCAACTCTGGAAGCATTTCGTGCCAATAGACGTCGGTTGCCAACTGGCATCCATATGCATCCGGATAGGCCCCACGACAGCAGGATCAAGCACAAGGGAAAGCTGGAGCTGACAAATCCACTCGTGGACTGTCTTGATCATAAAAAAAGTGTAAAGGACAGGGACTACCAACTCGGTAAACATCGTATAGGTAGGCTACCTGTCCACTCACACACAGCTCATATAGACAAACAAGAAGAATCTCACGTGTTCCAAATTGAAAGCATAAACTGCCTATACACGAACGCCGCGAGCTTGCCAAACAAAATGGATGAGCCACGTGAACTTAGCAACGCTAATGATGCCCATCTGATAGGAATATCCGAAACTTGGATAACGTCTCAGTTTACGGACCAAGAGTTAGCAATAGCTGGGATGTCTTTATTCCGCAACGACAGAAAAACAGGAATGGGGGGTGGGGTAGCACTATACGTACGGTCATGCCTGGATGCGCACCAACTTCACAACCAAGAGTTTCACAATCTTGACGAGTCAGTATGGTGCTCAATAAGATTATCTACCACCTCGAGGTGCCTAGTTGGGGTCGTTTACAGGAAGCCCACTGCCGACATCGAATATGACAAACGTCTGCTGGAAGGATTAACTCGCTCTACGCGTCTCGGATTCTCTCATTTCCTGATTCTAGGGGATTTCAATCTCCCTAGAATCAACTTCGTGGAACATACATACATTGGTGGTGCCAACTCTACTGAAGCTCTGTTCTTCAACCTTATCGGTGACCTGGGATTATTTGAAAATGTGAAGTCGGCAACCCGTTGGAGAAACAGTCAGACGCCGTCACGCTTAGACTGGGTATTCACAAATGAAGAATTCCTAGTTGACGACCTCTCAATCCTGGCTCCCCTGGGGAAAAGTGATCACGTCGTCTTATCATTCAGCTTTGTCAGCAAAACGGAGCTATGATATCCTACTAGCAACAAGCGCTGGAATTTCAAACGGTTGAATGTGTTAGCTTTACAGGTCTATCTACAACAGGTGGATTGGGATGTTCACCCTCAAATTGAAGTGGATGCTCATTGGGATTTTTTACTGCACACGATCTTATGTGCTACTGAGCATTCAGTTCCTAAAATGGTCCCAAAAAGCTACAAGCAACCTCCAATCATCAAGAACCGCACTCGTCGTTTGCTAAGCCGCAAAAGGCACTGTTGGGCTGAATATAAACGAACTGATAACAACGGCTCGTACAGGGAATACAAACATATAAGGAACATATGCACAAAGGCAATAAGAGAAGACAGGCTTCAGTTCCAGACCAAGCTTATCGATAGATTTGTCTCTAACCCGAAGAGCTTATTCCGTTACGCAGCTTCTCTTCGACAAGGCAAAACTGGAGTTTCCCAACTGCTTGGTCCTAATGGCCAGACCAATAACGACAGTGATGCCGCTAACCTTTTGGCTGAACAATACTCCCGGACATTCCAGCTGACCCACATCAACCATACTGACGAAAGCTTCACCTGCACCTGTACAGGACTTTACGAAGTGGACCTGAGTGCTGACCTGGTGCTCCGTAAACTGCAGAACCTAAGAAAAGACACTTATCCTGGTCCGGACATGATTCATTCCGCAAGGGGAAGGTTGACGTCATCTACCTGGACTTCTCAAAAGCTTTTGATAGGGTCAACCACGCATGTCTTATCAAGAAGCTTGGACGATTGGGCATAAAAATCCCTTTAATTGATTGTCTCTCTTCATATTTAGAAAACCGACACTTTAAGGTCAGGGTTAACTTCACTCTCTCTTAGGCTATGGAATGTCCTAGTGGGGTCACACAGGGCTCAATACTAGGACCTCTTCTCTTCTTGATTTATATTAACGATCTTCCTCAACAAGTCTCATCTGACTTATTGCTTTTTGCTGATGATGTGAAACTTTGGAGAGAGATACGTAATCATAATGATATACTAGTTCTTCAGGAGGATCTGACCCGACTTCAAAGTTCGGCAGACGACAGCGGACTTACCTTCAACACTTCAAAGTGCAAGATAGTCCATCTGAGACATGTTGCAGACTATAATTATAACTTAGGTAACTCCCCTCTAGAAGTTTCCCAAGTTGAAAAAGATTTAGTAGTGTTGGTACCCTACGACCTGAAATCGTATACGAACTGTGACAAAAACGCCTCTCAAGCAAACCTGGCACTGGTAACATTGAAACGCATTTTTGGCCAGTTTGACTGTAGAACCTTCCATATAATCTTCAACAGTTTTATTCGTCCCCACTTAGAGTACGGAAACATAGTATTTCCTCCCTCCCTCCAAAAGGATAAGGACACTCTGGAACGTATACAACGTCGAGTCACGAAATCAGTTCGGGGACTCAAATTCAAACCTTATGAAGAGCGCCTCAAATCACTTAACCTTTACCCGTTAGACTACAGGCGTCTTAGAGATGATCTTCTTATGACTTATAGTATCCTTAATACTTCTGGTCATCCCCTTAAACATCTTCTTAAGCTTAGTTATAGCACTAACCTGAGAGGTAACATCCAGAAATTGGAGACCCTACATAGCAGAACGGACTGTAGACACAACTTCTACTCCTTAAGTGTTGTCAAGTGCTGGAATTCGCTGCCAACTGAGCTAGTCCAAGCGACAACCCAGGAGTCCTTTAAGAGGAAACTTGACTTATTCTTGAGGACTAAGGATAACATATTATTATGATTTACCAAATTCTTTTTTTTCCTCTATTATCGTTCATATACCTAGGTTCTTGCCTGGAGATATTAGTGATCCACTGCTACCAGACACGGAAGCCCGTTAAGCTAAAGCTTCTTCTATTCCGTCCTCAACCATTTGAACCATTTGAATTTGAACTTAATATGTGTAATCACGTCCATGTTAAATGACGTGGAGCTGCCTGAGAAACTAAACTTATTTCCTCTGTCTTAATTCAAAATAAGCGGTGGTCGGTTTTTCATTTATAGCAGTAAAGAAATCCCCAGAAATTAATAGTTCTGTATGTCTTCGACATTGATGCTGACCTCATTAGCTCTACTGAACACGTCTAGTTGCGGGCGCTCTGCCGCGCATCCGCATTCGATCACGAGAGGGTAAA